CTCAAAACTGCCCTGACTGTGGGTCTGGGGGCAGAGGAACCAAATTCCCCCCAACTTGCAGCAGGGTTGAAAAGAGGGGAGGGGAGGGAACCGCTCAATGTGGGTACGTGGGTTAAGTGTCTCTGTGCCTGTCCTGGTGTGTTCTGCTTGCAGGAAAAGTCAGCGTGATATTGAACGTGCCGGTCTTTGGTATCTCTGTGGCTCCTATAAAAACCCCTGCAAATTGGATTCACAGCACAGCTTCTTATCTCCTGAAAGGAAGATGTAACAGCATCATCTTGTGTTTTAGCCAAACGTTTTCCCTCAACACTTCCCTATTTCTACACTAAGGGAAAAACAAATGTTGAGTCTTTTTTTTTTTTTTCCCCTCCTGTTTGAAACATTAAGAGCCCTTCACACAAAGCAGCTCAAGTGCAGAAGAATTAATTGGGGAAATTAGGGTGTGCTGTATTCCTGGCATTTTCTCAGAAACGGTAATTGCCCTAATTCTCCACCCTGTCAAGACCTGCATCCGCACCCTGTTTTCCTCCTCCCCTTTTCCTCACTGTCTACCTGTTGTTCTCCTGCTTGAGTTGCTGTTTTCATGCTGTTGCCATTTATTTCATTCCAGTAATGAGAGGGATGTAGCAGGTGAAGAGCTCTCACAATCTGGTGACATCTTTGAAGCACAGGCACAAAAGAGCAGTTTGTTTTTGGGAAATAAAAACTCCCTGCTCTGGTACTTGACCTCCACGCTCACCTCTTCTCCTGCTCGGGGTATGTTACTGCTGTCATTGCAAGTCATTTGGCTCAGGATTTTTGTTTAATATAGTCTCAATATTCACCTAAACACTGACCTCCGTGCTTAACCCCTCTGTGTTCCTCCCAGACCACCCAAACCCTCACACACTTACTGAAAGCTAATCAGACTCAGGATCTTTCAATCAAATCTCAGCCCCACTCCCAGGCATTTGAATTGAGGCTTTTGATTTCTCCCAACCACTGGGCTGAGATCCAGAGGCCTGGGAGCTCAGAGCCTTTCAGTTTAGCTTCCTGATGGTTTTTTAACCTTCCATTTGCAGAGATCATAGATGTAGCCAAACAGGGAGGAATTTTTTGTTGTTCAGTATTTCCTAAAACACCTGGTGATGTACGTGGCAGGTTCGGATTCGATGGAGATGACTCTTCCAGTCTTCCCCATGCTGACTGGACTTTGGCTGCTCTTAAAAGCTGTCCAGGCTGATGTCTGCTTTCCTGAGAGCTGGAAAGAGTGCTGGGAGTAACCAGTCAAATGCTGGAGCCATGTGAGGGCTAGTAACACCATCCCCAGAAGTCAGAGATTCAGTTCAGTTCAGAAAACTGGGGTTGTTTCTCAGTGCAGCCAAACTACCGAACCCTGTCACCTGTGCTGTAAAAACTTGAGACAGCAAATTTCCTACAGGGAGTTCAGGAGCCCTTTCCCTCAAAGCAATTTCCTTCCCATAAAACTTAACTAGGGAGGGCAGAACTCTTTTCCATTTTCAGTGTTCCCTGGGTGCAGCCAACAGATCCAGGGAGGCAAGAGAAGCTACTTGTGACCCCCATCCATCCCTGAGTAACTTTTCCCTCCCCCTGACTGTAAGACTGTTTTTTCCCCCGTTCTAATTTTTTTATCCAAGTATGATTTCCAACACTTGCTAGAGGCTGCCTGCATGCAGTGAGCTTGCTTCCTCCTGCTGTCCCCACTTGGAACATCCCATTAGCCTGAAAGCTGTGACATACGGGGAAAAGAACACAATGCCTCATTTTGAGCCATGAAAGACTCTCTCATGGTGGAGATCCATCCAAAAGTGTCACCAGAAACAAAAGGATTTTGTAAGGTCAGATCAGAGAAGCTCATGGTTCCTGGGTTTTACCAAGGTGGCCTGATTTAAACTACAGCCACAGCAGAAGAAGGTAGAGAACCATATACCAGGAAGCTTCATTATTCCAGCATAGGTGGACCAGAAAGAGTATAGGTCCTTCTGAGCATACAGAAATGAACAGTTCATGCTTTGGGAGGAGCATGCCACTTGCAATTGAGGGTGACTGGGATGTGTAAATGTAAAATCCTCCCCTCTCATCTTGTCTAGGTTGTTGAACCCATTTCCTCACTTCATCCCAGCTGGCCCCTGGCCTCCTCCTGCCTTCCCACCTGCAGGACCATGATCTCAGCTCTTCTTTACCATGGGTACAGCCAAGGGATCACATATTGGTCAGCAAAGGTGGGGAGCATCCCCAAACCTCAGTATCATCAGCAAAAGAACTGGAGGCAGAGCAGTTATAAGCCAATTTAGCGAGAGCAAGGATAAATTACGCTTTGCTTCAAGACAAACTGAAGACCTCCCTAGAAAAATTAAGATGCAAGTATCTTCATCAACCTCCTTAATTAAGATGCTTGCATGGAAAGAAACCACTGCTTTTCTTTTTTCCTCCTGATTCCTGCATGGTCAGAATTTCTGTGTACTTTCCCCTCCCGATTCCCCACCCCCCCCCCCATTTCATAGTCTTACCTCTCTCACAACCCCAGCAAGCTCCTTCTCCCTGCCAGCTGGATGGAGAAAGCCCCTATTTGCAAGCAGCTGTCCTTAATATATAGGCTGTTTAGGGCTCAGCTGTCAAAGAGAGCATGTTCAATGTACAATCAAGGGGCAACGATGCACAAAATTGCGCACACACACGAAATGGGAATCTTTTCTCAGTGTGTGTTGAGCTTTGAACGCTTAAGTGATTCCACCTCTCTCTTCCCCATCCAATTATGTGGGCAACACATGATAAGATTGCTAAAGGAATTAGTGAGGAAAATCTTTATGCTGCCTAATCAATACTGTTCTTCTCAGCAGAAGGCATCTCCCCCCTCTGGCCTCAGCCATGTTCTCATTTGCCCTCTGAAACACAAGTCCACCTTCTCTCTATTTGTGGTGACCAAGTGGAACAACAGCAGTGTGTCTGTTGGAAATGATTGTAGTTTCAGAGTTTCTTCCTTTCCTTAAAAGAACTCCCAAATTAAAATGTAGTAGAGCCCTGCCAAACCCATGTTTCAGGTTTTTAAAGAGGTTTGCTGTGTAGGCCAGAGAGACCTTTCATCCCTTTCCGCTGTGTGGCCTTACAGGAATGGTCAGCAACCTTATAGGCAAAGACAAGGGATGATAATTTTTCTGAGCATCACTGAGGCAAGACGCCAGGTTTTATGGGCCACTAGACTGATCCAATATAGCAAATCCTGTGTTCCACTGTGGATTCTGAGACCAAATTATCAATTAATGTGAAGCATTAAAAAATTCAAATCCCTTTTAGTTCCCTGCAGTCATTAGTGACAAGATACAATATCTATAGCTCAAATGCTTTGCCAGCATCCCCTGGCAGCAAGGCAGAAACTTCATTCCTATTTTTTCAAACATATACAAAGAAAACATATGAGATCAGTGGTTTTTACAGTCAAATTCGGCTGCCTGTCCATATTTACTTAGATGGAGGAATAAATCAGGTTTGGGTTACTCTTCGGGTTAGTTATTTGTTATTGGAATAAATGCATGGTAATAGATCTGACAGAGGAAGATGTTTCCCTTTCAACTCTGTGTTTGAGGTAGAATTTGCTTTGTTCTGCACTATATTATATTGATGTTTTTTTCCCACTGCTGGATGACTTCATTTGCTCTGTTTCTTTCCAACTTCCATACCTCTGCCCCAGCTGGCTTTAGTATACAGCTTTATGCATAGATTTCTCTTTACTCTTCCCCTAATTGTAACACTGTAATGCAAAAACAATTTAAACAACCAGCATGAACCAATTTTCTAAGCCTTTTCTCCACCCATTTCCTACCTCAGCTTTTTGGGAAGGGAGGTGAGTCAGTCGTTCTTGGGGCAATTCCCCAAGCAGAATGAGCTGTCAGATACATTTAGCAGCTTGGTTTCCACTGCTAGTGCAGGGTGGGAAGGTGCCCAGGGCAATGACCAGCTGGACACACTCTGAGGCCGTATTTCAGGAATTCCCCAGGCAGCTCTCAGCCTGAGCTCCTCAGTAATACAGTGAGAAGTGTACCGCCAAATCACCATGCTCACCAACTCCCCTTCAATCTTGGGATTTTGTCTTTGCCCCAGTGGGAACACAAACAAGCTCACTAGAAAGTCAGCAGAGCTTATGCCAGTCCTTCACTCTCAATTTGCTCCCTGTCCCTTTTCCTTTCTCCCATTCTCCAAATCTCTCCTACTTTGATGCAGAGGAAAATGTAGTCCTGTATTTCGTGCTCCAGCATTTTGCTTCCCTTGTCCCCTTCTAAGCTCCAGTTTTGCGAGTGCTGGCAGGTTTGTGGGTGATTGGAAGCTGTGGGTTTAGGTATTTTCTTCCCCAGCCTGTGACAGTGCTGATGGGACAAAGACTTTGGGCAAGTGTAGGGTGATGTGTGAGATGCTTCACTGGTACATTTGGCCAACAATACCGTTAACTCTGGCTAGCCTGAACTTGCTTGAGTAAAGATATCAGGGCTGGGTCTTGTTCTGCTGGCAGAGGCAGATGAGTCCCTGCACTGTGCCCAGGAGGGCTGGCAATGGGCAAGAAGCAGGATGCTTAAGTACCAGATATGAAGGAACTGCTCAAGCATCCTAAAACTTCTCTTGTCTGGAGAGGAATTCTGGGTCCCCCAAGGGATGACATTCTATATGAGCATTCTAGGTGGCTTCTCAGACCAAGGAGAAGTTTCAGGAGGCTGAGTCTCCCTCGACTGTTGCCCAGCTCGCCCTCCCTCTGCACTGGTGCAGGTGATCGTGTGGGGTGCAAGGTGGTGGTGACTGGGGCCAGAGGGTCTCACCTGCCCCTTGCCCTCACAGCAAGGGCTGCATAGTGTTGGGATGTTGCAGCCAGTGAAAGACTTATGGTTCAGTTAAAGACATACCCTTTCCCTTCTTGTCCCCTTGCTTCATCCCCCCCATCCCTCCCTCCCTCTCTCACCCTTCCCTTCTCTTTTGTTTGTCTCCTTCCCTTGTTTTCACCCATTCACTGTCAGGAAGGGCCGCGTCCGAAGGGCCAGTTCAGCGCAGCGTGGCAGCGACAGAGACTGGCACCGCCGGCAGCTGCAACAGTGAGTGCATCTTGAACCCTGGGGCAGCTGGAAGCGGGGGACTGGTGCTGCTTGAGCATGAAATGACACGTGGGGTTGAGTGGCTTTGGGACTAGGTCGGGTCTAGTGCATTTTGGCAGCGAAGGGGCTCTTGTCTGTGGTGGGAACTGCACACGTTTCTACTATAACGGCTCTTGGGGCTTCTTTATATGGTGAGATAGTATGGGATGAATGGAGAAGTCCTCAGTGCAACCTTCCTCTGTGAGTGTCCAGGCTGTGCCTGCACTAGTGGACAGTGCAGGCTGTCCTTGGGCTCCGCTGGCAGCAAGTGCAGCATGTTTTGTCTCTGTGCAGCTAAACCACCCCATGACTCCAAGCAACGTGGCATTTGCACTGTTCACTGGGACTGTCCCCTCAGCAGCTGTTTGGATGGTCAAATTGTCATGGAGTAAAACCAGACCATTTGAGCAGCTGGACTGTCAGCCTGACACTTTTGTCTGGTAGTGTGGACACTTTCTCTGTATCTGACCAGTTGGATGCCTGCAGCGCCAATTGAGTGGATGTCAACTATCACTGCCCACTGCTGCTCCCACCCCTTGCCCAGAGGGGAGACAGTGAGGGACTGGTGCAAGTTTGAAGCTCTGACAGAGCAGCAGTTTGGTTTTGCCAAGGCTGTGGCTGATGGGAGCCATGTGAACTGTGTGAGCCCGCTGAGGGCTGGTAACACTTCTGTCTATCCTGCCCTCCCTCCCACAGAGCCAAGCCAGCATCCCGTGGTGCTGCAGCCTCTGTGTAGGATCCTCAGCCCGGTATGTCCCCGCCTGTCACAGCATCACAGTGCCCTCCTCCAGCCAGCTGGAGGGTGAGCTGCAGGAGCCTGTGAGAGGTGGAAACATAAAACTTGGTTGTCCTGTGGGATTTTGCTGCTGGCACTCAACACAGTGCTCTGTTGATCCAGACAGTTAGGGTGCCTTTGCTTGAGCCCATTCTGGAAATGGAACGAACTAATCCACCCAAGCTGCAGAGCAGTTATGACTCCTTATAAGTTAAGACTTTCTTTCTCAATAGCTTCCCTGTGCCAGCAAGCCCACAGAGATGGGCATAAATATTTACAAAGTAGCCATGGCAGGGATAAATTACCTGGGTCCAATCACCCAAACCTTGCTGTGGCATTGCAAGGGGAGATATATATATACTCCTGGCCCACTGATGCAGGACTGGCTGCCCCACCACCTGGTGTTGTGGTCACTCCTCCTGCTCCAGCAAATGCCTGCATAGTTTTAAGCAGCTGAGTGGATCTTGCAAATCGAAAGAGCACGTCTCTGGCACTTCCTTGACTGTTGCCAGAATCACGTGGGAGTGTGAGTTTAGATATTGCTGATTTTGCAGGGGATATGTCAGCAGATGAGATTTGCCACTGAAAGGTGATTTTGTTACGTTTATGCCTTTCTGAGCCAAAATTGAATTGTGGGGTGTGGATGGGAATTTAGTTCTAAGCACTGATGTAATTTTGTATCCTTGGCCCTGAAGGCAGTTTTTAAAAAATTATTTTCCCCTGTGCCCTGACACTATTTTTTTGCCTTTGAATCATGTCCTTATGACAGAACAAATACTAGGGTTGACCTTTGCAATGTGACATAATAATATGTGACTTCTTTATAGCTCTTTTCATCCAAAATCCTTGGCACACTATGAATCTGATCTTGCAACCGCTTGCCACTGGGCTTAGCACTCACTGCTCCAAGCAATCCCTGGGGAAGCCAGAGGAGCATAGAAGTGCTATACATGGTGTTACTGGAAGGATCAGGCCTTAGAGAAATGTAGCACATGTTTGTGAATAGCCATATTTTGGAGAGAGAAAGCCTTACTCTCTGATTTATTACTTTTATTTGCTATCAAAGTGCCACGCCCAGCACTAATATGACAGCCTCCTCTTGGCTACAGTATCATGGCAGGTAATGCTGGGGCCGTGTTGATAGCTATTATCTACCACCCTGTTGCCTTTTTATTATTATTTTTTTCTCAGCTCTAAAAGCATGTTAATTAATAAAATCCCTTAGTTTATCCTGCACCATTTGATCCTGCAGAAATCACAGCATTTTATCTTATTAGTAAGTAGGAATTAAAGAATTAAAACTACTCAGGGGGGAAAAAAGAACATAATCACTTTGCCTGGTCATCCCTTCTGAAACAACCTTGCGTTGTGCCCTCAGAAAGCCCAAGCTCAGCCTCTATGGCTTGGCAGAGGATGGAAATCCCAAATCAGTGAGTGCCTGATCTGAAAACCACTTTGTGTTCTGTTATTCCTGCTGTGAAAGGGAGAGCCCAGTTAGGTGCATGAAGAAGAGTCAAGTAGTGAAATCCCAGCCTTGGACTGGGCTGCAGGTCCCTTCCATGCTACTGATGTCCTCTGCTGCCATGGGAAATTCAGTTAGTTCTCCTGTGCCTCAGTTTCCCGTTGTTAAAAGGTGATCCCTGCTCATCCTCACCAAGGAGATTCACATGAAAAAAAGATTGCAAGGGATGCAGTCATTATGGTGTTGGGAAACAGGTAAGTACCTTAGGAATATGTAGGGAATCTGAGAGCTGAGACATTTGTGGTGAAGTTGCACAGAGTGAATTTTGGAAGCACTTAGTAGCTGTAAAATTCAAAGAGTGAAGCAGGCAGGATCCATGCACCCACCTCTGCTTGGTATGTTCAAGATGGGTAGAACCAGGAAGGAGAGCTGCTCCACCTTCTTGTTGATGGGAAGTGGTTAAATCTGGGGATGGAGACCCACTAACCATCAGTAGGTATCTACACACCTCAACACTGTTTGCCATCAGTAGAGCACTGCATCCTCCCCACAACCTTAAAAAATCCCTTAAAAAATAATTTCATTAGGAGTAAAGAGATCTGGAAGGGATTCCCTGGATCATCAAATCTAATCCCCTGTTGCATCAATCACATCAGATTTATCCTTTTCATAATCAAGCATCACTATTAAATGTGCTCCTAAGGGAAGACAGTCCCAGAATCTCATTGCTTTAAATTGATGCTCCTGATTTTCAGTCTGTGCTTAGTCATGGCCCGTTTGTTAAACAGCAGGTACCTGGCACAGAAGCAAGAAATTTAACACAGTTTTCTTAAAATAACCACCCAGAAATTCTATCCACAAAAAAAAATGCTGAGGTTGCAAAAGAGAACGTGCAAGGTCAGGTAATGATAATGAGGAGGCCTGAGCTCACACTTGCCTCAGCCTTGTAGTACAGACTTCACATAATAGCCTGCTGTTAAGCTTGTCTGATCCAGGTGAGGTACAAGGCAAAAGTACTCACAGAACAAGGGAACTTCTTTGCTGTTCTTCGCCATCATAATAATTGTGTAACCCTCTATTTTTTTTTGCCAGGTATAACTAACTAAATGTTTATAACTAAGCTAAACATTTGACTATTTCTTCTTTTGCTGGCAGGCTTTTCCATGCCATTTATATTTTCACTGTACAAGCCATTACCTGCACAACATTCTTGAGAAGTCAGTGAGTTCATAGGACCATAGAATGGTTTGGCTTGGAAGGGACATTAAAGACTGTCCAGTCCAACCCTCCTGCTGTGGGCAGGACCACTAGACCAGGTTGCTCAAAGCCTCATCCAGCCTGGTCTTGAACACTTCCAAGGGTAGAGTTGCACTGCCCCATTTTACAGATTAGGAAAGAAATTCCAGTGCTATCAGCCATACAAACCCATGGAGCTGCAAGGGCAACTTCCTCCCTCCAAAATGCCCCTGGCTTTATCCAGTGCAGTCTGATTCACTCCATACCATGCAATTGCTGGTGCAGCAGTCTGCCCTGTGGCACACAGTGTACAATGCACGTCAAGGAAATGATGGGATGCTCTAGAGCCATGACTTATCCAGTTAGTTAATCAGGGTGCACAGTAAATGGGCAGAGGGGAGAAACTGGTGAGTGTAGGCTGAGGCACAAAACCTCAGTGTTACCCATTAGATGTGACCCAGCCTAGTTATGACCCAATGGCACATGGAGTCAGGGCTACTGCTGCACAGCACGGCCAGGGTGACTAAGGAGGAGGCCTCATTTGCCAAACCCAGGTTTGGAACTAGGACGCTGCAATCCCATGTTTGCTTATTTAACTTGGCAGGTGTTCAAGTGAAACAGGCACAGAGGGGAGGTGTCAGAGCTGATCTTGGTACCCGCGTGTGGGATTTTGACTTTCTATTTCAGCGCTCCTGTTTAGGAAAGAAACACATGCAAACCCACCCCCCTCTCCTTTTTTTTTTTTTTTTGTTTTAAAGCACTATTTAAATGTCATGAGAATGATACAGTGCCCACCTTAATGTGCCTAACAAATTAAAATATTTTATTAGCCTATAATCTGAAAATCATTACTGTGCTTACTATAAAAAACTGAAGGTCTTCAGAGGGAATGATGTCAGTGTGTCTAAAATGTATGCAAATATATTCCATTGCTACAAAGGTACCAGGGGTCAGACAGGCAGCCCCCAGCCCTAGGGCAACAGGCTGTTAGTGTGGGAGGGAATGAAATGCATCTCATAGTGGGGAGGGAGAAAATGGATCTCTTGGCTGATTTTCCTGGAGTTTTGCAGGGTGAATGCCTGGGGCTGTGCCTGGCTGGTTGGGATGGTTTCAGAGGAAAACGTTCATTGGTGCTGCTCCCACGCACGTCCCTTGCAGTGAGAGTAAGGAAGCGCTCCAGACGGCTCATCCCAGTCATGGAAGAGCTGCTTGGAACCTGTGGCCCTATCCTGCTTGCACAGACAGCACAGGGGCCTGTTCCCCTCGGGTACACACGTGCCTCTGGTGTGACCCTCCTGCGGATGACTCTGGATGTGTCCCTCCACATAACTGATTCCTAACACAGGACAGGCAGAGACAGCTGCATCCAGCTCTAAGAGAGTGGCCCATAGCCACTGCCCCAGTGGCAGTGCTGGTTATTTCTCACCGCCCTTGGCAAGTGTCAAATGGTTCAAGGATTAATGACCATTTAACCGGCTGTATATCCAT